TTAAATGGCACAGCTGAGTAGCTAATAGGCTTTTTTAAATCATTCCAACATTAATTAGATATATACGTTTATGTAGTCTGTTCTCCAAATAGGTGGCAAGAAGCCCTTTTCTCCTTGGCGGTGTTAGCTGCAGCTTTCCAATGTGTTTTCCTGTTGGGCGTTACTTCCCCATATGGTCCACTGGTTTCTAGTAATTGAATTTTGAACTCTTTAAAAAAGAATTAAAAGGTAATTCTGCAGTGGGAAAGTAGGAGGAAAAGTTGAGAACGTTCTCTCCAGAATGACACGTCACCGAGCTACTTAGGGGTCTCCTTCCACGATGTGGCTGTGCGTGTATGCACACGCGTGCATTCTGAATGTGTATTTGCAGAATTCGTGCAAGTAAGGGCTGAGCCCCTATGTGTGAGCCAAATGCTAACTTTCCTTTCTCTCTACAGTCTCGGAAGGGGAGCGATCCAGACAAAGAGAAGAAAGGCCTGGAGGGTCGAGCGGACAGCATCGGGAGCGGCCGAGCGATCCCAATTAAACAGGTACGCAGCCCCCTCTGTTTTTCTCCCCCTTTCCTGGAGTTGGAAACACATCTCGGGTCGTCCAAGCGAGGATGCCGCTCCTGCGCCAGTCCGCGTTTGATGTGCTCTGTTGATGAATGTGGAAGTCGTTCACTTGACATCAATTAGGAGAGGTTCCTGTGTGTATTAAAATAGGATCATTAGAATAAGAAGAGGAGGAATGTGACAGCAGGCCTAATGAAGTGCAGTGTGCCGCCCGCCCGCACATGGAGTGCGTCCTGGGCTGAGCTGGCTTCAGAGGCTGCCTTTGTAGCGCGCCTTTGATTGGGCCGCTGGCCGCCAGGCAACAGGGGTACATCAGCGCGCCGCACAAGAGCCCCTTGTGATGGCAGGCACAGCCCGCCGTGGCCCTAATTTGCTCTTGCAGACGGACATCTGAACGCCGTCGCAGGCTGGTCCGTAACAACGAGGCAATTAGTTGTGATAATCATAGCCCGTGTGTCAGCTGTGCACTCTTGTTTGTAATTTGCTAATGAAGGAATTGTAACTTTGATTAGGTTCAGTTTCATTTAGACCTTATTATATAAAGGAACATTTACAGCTGTAATGTGGGGCCTTAATTAAACTTCCTCATTACACAACAGGACTTGAATTCAAGCATTTGTTTTGGCCTCTGCCGCTTGCCTCCAATAGGTTTCCATTAGCCCAGAAACCCGATACCAAATGATTTTCGGTCTCAAAGAAAATTGTAATTCACTTGTGTTTTACTGTTACCACTTGCAGGGGAAATAGGGAGTCCAGCCCTGCTGAGCGGCTTCTGGGAATGCCGTCCTCAAGTTTGCTAAAGATGGCCAATTGATTTCGAGTGCGCTGGGCTTGCAAGGGGGAATCCGCGGGCAGGATGATAGCTCTGCCTCCTGGACCTGGGCTCTGACCGATTTCTTCGCCTGGATGGGCTCTCGTTTCTG